TATATTTAAAGAATCAAAAGTTGGCCTTTCTACGAAGATGGCTCCGAAAGTGAAAAAGGAAGCCCCTGCCCCTCCCAAAACTGAAGTCAAAGCAAAGGCAATAAAGGCCAAGAAGGCAGCACTGAAAGGCATTCACAGCCAAAAAAGAAGATCCGCACGTCGCCCACCTTCCCACGGCCTAAGGCGCTGAGACTCCGAAGGCAGCACAAGTACCCCAGAAGAGCGCCCCAGGAGAAACAAGATTGACCACTATGCCATCATCAAATTTCCCCTGACCACTGAATCAGCCATGAAGAAAACAGAAGATAACAATACACTTGTGTTCATTGTGGATGTCAAGGCCAACAAGCACGAAATTAAACAAGCTGTAAAGAAGCTTTATGCCATTGATGAGCCTAGGGTCAACACTTTGATTAGGCCTGATGGAGAGAAGAAAGCCTATGTTCTATTTGCTCCTGACTATGATGCTTTGGACGTTGGCAACAAAACTGGAATCATCTAAACTGAGTCCAGCTCGTTAATTCTAAATACAAATTTTTCTCAGCAAAAAAACCAAAACAAAAAAAAAAAACACCAAACTTCAAAGATTGGTTTATAGAATGAGTTACCACAGACCTTTTAAAATATACATTTAAATAATAGTTCTATAATAAGAAAAGTAGTATATAACTACAAAAATTCATAAATTTTTACAACGGAAACTACATAATAAAACAAAACTACTAAACTTATAAAATGTAATGTAGGACAAAATTGCTTAGGTTACAAAATACCAAGGAAAAGGTTCATGTTCTTTACGTCATGGAGGGTGGAGGGGGACAGCGCAGGAGGAAGACCCTTGACAAGATGGATTGATCCAGTGACTGGGGTAATGAGGGTAGATATGTAGGAGGCAGTGAGAGTGGCACAGGATACAGCAGGGTTTAGGGCCGTTGTACATAGAGTCACTATGAGTCATAGGTGACTTGATAGCCCGTAAGAACAACAATAAAAAATAAACAAAAAATACCTCAACAAGAAGATAAATAATCCAACTGCAAAATAGATGATATGATGAGACTCTTCACCAAAGATGGCATTCAAATAGTCAAGAACTACTGGAAGAAATGCTCAGGATCTCGAGCGACTAGAGAGATGCAAATAAAAACAACAAGACCACCATTTTGCTCCAGCAACAATGGCAAAGTTCAACAGAACAATTAATAATAAAAACCGGCCAGGCAGTGGGAAGATTGGAGCCCTCATACATTGCTAATGGGAGTGTAAAATGGTACAACTATGGAAGGCAGTCTGGCCCTTCCTCAGAACATTGAAAAGAGAAATACCAATTGACTCCACTATTCTACTGCCAGGAATCTACCTTGAAGAACAGAGAGGTGAGACACAAAGAGATGTATGCACACTCATGCTTACTGCAGCATTATTCACAATAGCAGAGACAAGAAAGCAGTTCAAATGTCCATCAACAAACAAATGGAAAAAGAAACTGGAATATTCACACAGTAGAATATTATGCAGCATTAAAAAACAATAGAAATCTTGCAACACAAGATAAAGGTAAACAACTCAATTGAAAAATGGGCACAGGATATGAACAGATACTTAATCAAACACATTCAGATCACCAACAAGCACATGAAGAAATGTTCAAAATCCCTAGGTCTAAGAGATGCAAATCAAAACAACCATGAGATATTATCTCACCCCAGTAAGAATAACAAAATTTAACAGAACAGCAAACAACAAATGCTGGCGAGGTTGCGGAGAAAATGGAACCCTTATTCCCTATTGGTGGGAGTGTAAAATGGTGCAGCCACTATGGAAGGCAGCATGGAGCTTTTCAAAAAGTTGGAAACAGAAATATTATTTAACCCAGAAATTCCATTACTGGGAATATACCCTAAAGAAACCATAAATGCCACCCAAGCAGATACATGCACACCAATGTTTATTGCAGCTTTGTTTACAACAGTAAAGAGTTGGAAACAACCCAAGTGCACATCAACAAACGAATGGGTAATGGGTAGAGAAACTGCGGTATATTCACACAATGGAATATTATACTGCACTGAAAAACAAGGAACTGATGAAATATTATGCAAAATGATGACATGCTGAGTGAAACATGTCAGTCACGAAAAGACAAATAGTGCATAATACCATGGTTATAAAACAGGACTGACATGGGGGCTGGGGGAAACTAAGAAAAGAGGGGATAAATAATCTACACAGCATTGAAACAGATGAGAGAAAGAACTGTATAAAAGGAATATATAATTAGGTATTATTGGCATGACAAGAGTCCTGAATAAGAGTTGCACAGTAAAGTGGTCTGGGGTGGGGTTTGTATAACAAGGAAAGAACTTTTTACCCAAAGAAAAAAGTGATCTTGGGGGAGAGGGGACAGGGAGGAAAATGTCCAGCAATGAACAATTGCAAACCCAAGTTCTTTATAAACTTTTATTAAAATCTCAATTAAAAAAAACCAAAATAGAAATTTCAAAAACCCACTATACAACATGAATGAATTTATAGACCATTATGCTGAATGAATTAACTCAGTCACAAAGGCATTAGTATAGTAACAGATCACTGTTAAGAAAATTCAAGAGGATTATAGGGACATTGGAGGCAGGGAGAAGTGGGGAGAACAGGACGAGAATGCACAGATGAAGAACAGGCATTGAAATGGGTGAAAGGAAGGTAATTCTGAAAAGAATGGATGAAAAGGCATTATGAGTAATGCAGCTAATAACCTGGTAAAGGACATGCACTGGGGAATGAAAAGGGAGGGAAGGGGGCATCAATCTGTATAAACCAATGAATGAAAAGCCAATTTCTTTGCAAACTTCCATTCAAATCAGTGTTTTTTAAAAACCCCAAAACCACACAAGTAAATTTTTTTCTGTTTTAACATTTAAGAACAATTTTGGTGTCTAAGAATAAAAAATGTGTAACCTTAATGCATTTAAATAACATTAAATAAGGTCTTCAATAATCATTGTTGTTGTTGGGTACCGTCAAGTCAGAACCAATCCATAGCTAATCCTCCAGTGGGTTTTCGGAGGCACATGAGGAGATTGCTCATCCTTCTCCCACAGAGCAGCTGGTGGATTCTAAACACATGCCTTTAAGATTGCAGCACAGCTTCTTACCACGAGAGCTCCCTTTAATGATCATGGAAGAGTTCAAATTCTTCTGTGCAAATAGCATACAATTATTACGCAAGTTCAGGTGTTTGTAATGCTACCAATGAAGGGAGAATTAAATGGTGAGATAAAAGTAGAGTTTTGAACTTAATTTGATACTTACCAATAATCCACAGGATAAGAAGATAGTCTATTCTCTCAAGGGCTGGCCCCATTGTGTTCTTCTTATCTTCATTGTATACTAGAGAGTACAGGTTTAGTAGCAGCAGGAAGGTGAAATAGGATGCTCCGTGAATAATAAACTTCATAAAAGGTGTGTGAATGATTTTACCCAATTGAGACTTAGGAGCTATCAAGTAGCAAAGTGACAAAACTGGCCAAAAGACGCCAACTGTCAAGACGGTCATTATCTTCTTACAGGTAGGTTTCCGTCGGTAACCTGACATCTGTCCAAACCACACAGTATTCAGGAACTGCTGGCAGTTTGATTGAGAGACAAACTGGAAAGACAGACACACAAACGTAAATAAATACTGTAAAGATCCACTGAGAAACCTTTCTTTAGTTGATATGAAAAGTTTTAGTAACAGTTTAACAATGAATCCTATGCATCCAACTAAATCCCTGGGTTCCTCTTTTTATTAAACAATAATACAAGAGTTGAGAGGTTAAGAACACAGACTTTTGGGCAAGTGTTTAAACCTCTCTGAAGACTTTACATAGCCTTCATAATCACAACAGTAACTACTCAAAAGCTGTTGTGTTGACTAAAACTCTTGGAAATAGTGCCTGACACAGAGTGTGCACTATATAAGTACGAACTATTGAATGAAGGCTCTTACCCCAATGTTAACAAAATTTCAGTTAAGTAAAATTCCTAAACAGACACCACTCTTTACTAAGGTAATTTAAAATTATATTAAGAAAAGCAAAATACTTTTTAAAAGAACCCACACAAATAACAATTTACCAATTGTTGTTGTTAAGTGCCATCGAGTCGCAGGTGACTCATAGTGACCCTATGAAGGAGAGTCCTCAAGGCTTGGGCATCTTTCATCCTCTCTCTAGGTTCATAGGGTTTCCAGAGGCAAGCTATTATGGAAGTGGATGCCACTCCTCCTTCCAAGCTTGTTTTAATCAGGGAGTTCCATCCCAGTCACGCATTTGACACATCAGTGTCACAGTGTTAAGCCTCACAGCAACCACAAGTTACCAGTGTATGGCAACTTGTACACCAGGGCTATACGACCTAGAGGAATGTCTGAACAAAATCAATGAAAGCCTGGCCCAAGGGCCACAGACCCGAGGGCCCTTCAGTGTCTTAGCAGCCCAGCATGCCCAAATGCTGGCAAACTCCTTGCCCCATACCCCCCGTTCATGTGGCAAGTCCGCTCTGCCAAACCCCATGTGGGGCCAAAAGTACACCACAAGTGCCCAGTGCCCTCAAACCTGCCGAGCCTCAAGAAGCCACAGTCTGGATTCAGCTGACATCAAGTCTCCCAAGACCCTAGGTGGGGCCAATTACTAATTACTAAATTACTAATTCTTAGTTAGATGTCTTCGGTATAGAGAAAAGAATTAGTTTTAGGTAAATGAAATGGGAAAGATACTATGTGGAAAAAAATGTAAGTAAACCAATATAAAATAAAATCTTATTTGAATGAAAAAAAAAAGAAGAAAGTAGGGAGAGTAAAAAGATAAACTAGGGTGTTATCTTTTGGCAGGAAAATAATGCATAAAACTAGAAGTCTTCATACTCCAACAAAATACTGAGGGTTTCTTAAATGGTTTAAAAGCACCACTGAATTTGTAAAAGCAAAACAGAATTTTGTATAAAATAAAAAGGAAAAATGTTCCCCTATAAGAGTAAAATTTTATATCAAGTACAGAAATTAGTTTACCAAAGTATATAAAGCTCTTTAGTTTCTAAACTTCTGAGGCAAAATTTTCCCCTTAGAATGTTAATGTGAAATGCAACTTATGGGTCCTGATAAATCTAGATGCAATAATATTACTCAAGTTTAATTACCAAAACAAAGGACAAATTGAAGATCATAAAATTTTAATCTAAATGAAGATCATTTTAGGCAACGTTCCGTTTTTAAAAATATTAATCTTGAGATAGAATATAATTTGTGGACTTTGACACTATAGTACCAGAAGTACTGTCTGGTTAGAATTTGTTTATTATACTTATCAAAGAATTTCCTAATATTCTATATTTCTTCTTAGCAACAAAACCTTATTTCATTCTTTCTTTTGCTCAGATTCCAGTGTTCTTAGGGACTCTTAACCTGCACCTCAACGTGAAATACCTGGGAGAGAAAGAGCGTTACTTCCCGTTATTAAATAGCTTAAAAGGAAGCTCTGGTGGCCTAGCTGGGAGAGAGCTGTGTTATTGGCCCAAAGGCAAGTTGTTGAGATCCACCAGCTAGGTGCTCATATGAATGAAAGAGGAGCAATCACTTTCTGTGGGAACCCACTGAAGGGTCAGCTATGAGTTGATTCTGGTTTGATGACAATGACTCTGCATTGTTTTGAATCAAGTAATCAGTCCAGCAGAATCCCAATTTTTGGATTTTCTCCCTTTCCACAAGTATGACAGCAGTCTCAGGACTGATTTCTCTCCCTGTCAACCATCTACATAATAATATAATTAACATTAATGTTAACTATGTATTTGGAAGAACAAAATTTTTACTAGAAATGAGTACATTTAGTTTTAAAAATAGCTACAAATCCATTGAAAGTCCTCAAGTTGTTGTGGTTGTTATGTGCCATCAATAGCCTGTGACTCACATCAACCCCAGGTACAATAGCTCTGAACTCTGTCCTATCCTGAGCCAGTCTCACCGTCTCTGACACATCTATTGCCCTTGCCCCAGTTACCATGGCAATCCATCTTATCTGGGGTCATCCTCTCTTGCATTGTCCCTCCACCTTTCCAAGCATGATGTCCTTCAAGAACTAGTCTCTCCTGGTCACATGCCTAAAGTATGTGAGATGGAACTTCAAAATTCTTGCCTCCAAGGAACAACCTAGTTTCACCCTCTTCAGACAGCCCTCCAGCATCATAAACTTAAAGGCATCATTTTTCTCCTGTCATCCTTAGTCATTGTCAAGGTCTCTGACGCATGACAAGTAATTAAGAAGATCATGGCTTGGATCAGGCATAGCTTGGTCTCTAGAGGGACATCGTTGTTCCTTAGCATTTTGGAAAGGTCCCTGATAGCAGACTTTACCCAAAAGCTATTCTGATTTCCTGACTGCTGGTACCAAAAGTACTGACTGTGGGACCAAGCAAGGTGAAACTGTTGACAACCTCAACCTCTTCAACATCTATCATGATGCTGCTAATTAGCCCAGGGGTGAGAATGTATTTTCTTGATGCTGAGCTTCAATCCATATTGAAGGCTGCAATCCTTGACTTTCTGTAGCAAGTGCTCCAGGACCTCCTCAATTTCAGCAAGCTGGGTTGTGTCATCTGAATAATGCAGGCTGTTGATGAATCTTCAATCCTGAGGCCGCATTTCTCCTCATAGAGTCCCACTTCTCAAATTACCTGTTCTGCATATAGATTAAAAAGGTATGGAAAAAGGACACACCCCTGATGCAGTCAGTCTTTTCTTGATTTTGGACCATTCAGTATTTCCTTGCTCTGTTCATACAACTGCATCCTGATTTAAGTATGAGGTGGGGTAAACATTCCTTCTCCTTGAATCTGGCTGTCTTTTGATTAATCAACAGATACTGGAAGGATTCTATATTACTTCTAAATCTAGGTCTAAAATGGCCAAGCAGTGTTCACTGGAACATTGCTTTTGGATTCACAACTTGGCAAGCAAAAAGTTCTAGTGTAATAAAACTATCATACTGTGAGGAAGCCCAAACTACACAAGCGACAGACAGGCATTCCAATCAATAACCCAGAATTCAGACACTTAACTAAGAAACTTCCAGCTCATTACAGGCCCCCTCATAAGGTTACCCATAAATGACACCTCAGACATGGATTCACTGTGCCTTTTCCTAATCTTGACTCAAAGATCCATGTTATGTACCGTTGAATCAGAGCTGACCCATAGTTGACCTTTCAGTGGGTTTTCAGAAGCAGTAAATCACGTGGGAGGAGATAGACCATTTTACTCCTGTCCAGTAGCTGATGGATTTGAACCACACACCTTAGTGTTGGCTGTGCAATTTTTTACCACTAAGCCAACACAGACACCAGAGCTCAAATAATCCATTTGCATAAGAAAAGAATTGCTGTTTTATGACCCTAAATTCCGGTGTAGAATGTTACTCAGCAATTGATAAACTGAACAAAAATCTATCATCACTTTTCTAAATAGCTTCTTAGGAAAATCTCCTTTGATCATATCTAGAAATCTAGTTTAAAATTTAATTCTTCATTCATCCTTAAAATTACAGAGTGGAGAGCTACTATGGAGGTTCCTCTCTTCTCACTGATGAGTGATCCCTAGTTGTTGTTGTTGTTATGTGGCATCGTGTTGCTTGCGACTCATAGCGACCCTATGTACAAGAGCTCTAAACACCATTCTATCCTGTGCCAACCTCACCGTTTCAAACACACTCATTCCCACCACTCCACTCACAGAATCGATCCATCTCATTGAGGGTCTTCCTCTCCTGCACCGTCCCTCCGCTCTTCCAAACATGATGTCCCTCTCCAGGGACCAGTCCCTCCTTGCAACATGCCCAAAATATGTCAGAAGATGAGTCAGAATCCTTGACTCAAAGGAGCATTTCGGCTTCACCTTCTCCAGGACAAACCTGTTTGTTCTCCCAGCAGTCCATGGTATATTCAACACTCTTCTCCAGCACCACTGCTCGAAGGCATCAATTCTCCCTCTATTATCCCTATTCACCGTCTAACTTTCCAATGCATAGTATGTAATTGTGAAGACTATAGCCTGGATCAGGCGCACCTTAGTCTCCAGCCTGATGTCGTTGCTCTCCAGTACTCTTGAGAGGTCCCTCACAGATGACTTTCCCAATGCAATTCGTCTCCTGATTTCCTGGCTGCTGTTACCAAGAGTGTTGACTGAGGAACTAAGTAAACTAAAACTGTTAACTATCTCAATCTCATCACCATCCATACTGACGCTGCCAATTGGCCAATTAGTGAGAATCTTTGTTTTCTTGATGTTGAGCTTCAATCCATATTGAAGGCTGCAGTCCTTGACCTTCTGCAGCAAGCGCTTCAGGTCCTTCTCAGTTTCAGCAAACAGGGTTGTGTCATCCACATAACACAGGTTGTTGATGACTCTTCCACCAATCCTGATGCCACATTTCTCCTCATATAGCCCAACATCTCAGATGATCTGTTCTGCATACAGATTGAAAAGGTATGGAGACAAACTACATCCCTGACGGACCCCCTTCTTGATTTTGAACCATGTAGTGTCTCCTTCTGGAGAGAGGATGAGAGACACCCAAGCATTGAGGACTCTCCTTCATAGGGTCGCTATGAGTCGCC